TTTGAAATAGGAAAAGTTATTGTAGCCTGTAGTTATTGGAAGATATTTCTAAACAAAAAAAGTATGTAAGAACTGAAAGCAGAATATAGACATTGAATACTCAAAACCCAGGAAAATATTTTCTAGTAGATTAATTATGTCTGGAATTCTATAGGCCTACTGTTCGTTTGTCCTAAGGGACCAGATGAATTGAATGGAAAGACATTAAAGGAATGACAGAACAAAATAATATATCTGCCCTCAGGCTCCGTTTCCATGGAAATAAAGATTAGACATATACATCAAAGAGGGCAGGAAATTGACCTAACAATTTCAACCATTCTCTCTTGCTAAGCTTTGCTTTAAATGACAAATTACCATGAAGGCTTTTTAAATGTGCAACATCCACTTTTCTACACTGTACCTAGCAAATCAGGGTTCCGACTTCTTATTAAGCACCTATCTGCACCTATCAAATGGCTCCATCAAATGCGTAAAGGTACATTTAAGCTTTTTTTCTCCCAGAATCATTAAGGGAATGTGATGTATAAGGCATAATGAGGTCTGTCCATTCTTGGGCTATGTTTAACAGAGAGGACAAGTGAAATGAAAAATTAAAGGGAGCAAGTTATGCTCTGAAAAAATCTTGACAGATAAGATCAGAGTCGTCAGATAGAAAGCTGGAGGGGTAAGCAAGTGACACATTGGTTACCCCCAACCACATACATAAAGAAACAACCTTCTGCAAATTCATACAGCCTTATTAATTCTCTCATTCTCCATGCCGACTAGAATCTGTTCATCTGTATTCTGTGTTAGCTATGAGCTTTACATAAAGTTACAATTAAAGTGTATACGCTGCACAGTGCATTATGCCAGTGGTTGCCAGAGCTCATTCTGATATGATCAGAACTGATCTGTTTCAGACAGCAGGGAAAATAATTCTAAATGTAAATAATAAAATTCAACAAAAATGTTTTGATGTATAAAGGTGCAAATTATCTGTCATTTGGACAGGTTGAATGACATGCCCTCATCCTCAAAAACCATGATCAAAACTATACAAGTTAAAGGAAAATATGTCCCAGTCTACATTAATAGAGGTTGACCGATAAATCAGTAAATATTGGGCCTGTGCAGACCATGTAATGTTAACCAAATTACAGGCATTGAAAGGCATGTATATGGTTGAAATTGAGAAGAAATATTATGCACAATTTATAAATCCAACTTTGGTTAAAATGCAACAAAGCAGTTTGTACCAAGGAATTGTGTAATGTCTACGCCACTAGCAGCACCAAATATGTTTGCAAAAATCATTACTATTTTCAAACAATTTTCTCAAACACTCTTATCATCCACAGATAAATTTTTTGCTCACACACAGCTAAAATTTGTTATGCCATGGTTCATGCAGCTCAACTGATATAGAACACACAGAGTACTGATCAAATGTATACTGTAACTACAATACACTGTGAGTCGCTTTTCATAAAAAGCACCGACCAAATAAATGAAAATGTACATCTACAGGTAGTGTTGTCAACATTACCGACTTCGGTACCAAGTCGGTACTGAAATAATAAAAATGTGACACATATCTTTAAGAATGTTTAAGAATTCGTTCAACAGCGCTCAAAATGCTAGAGGGAAATGCTGGTATCGTCACATTTTTAAAATTACAGTACCGACTTGACAACAATATCTACAGATGATGAAAACGAAAATCTACAGCTATTGCAAAAATTCCAAAAGGTCTCTCAAATCCTTGTGACCAGAATTATTTTACTGTCTCCATTATTAATGTTCATTACTGCTTTACACTTTAAATCAGCAAGACAAAATAGGAGTACATTTTACTCACCAAGACGACAGAAGTGGTACTCATTAGACTTAGTACACGTACAAATTTGACAAGCGGACACTTCCCCTTATTAAATAAAAAAAAAACAAGTTAAAGAAGGACCATTCGTTAAATCAACACCAAAAAAAAAAACAAGCGGACGAGCCCCCATTTGTTACGAATAAAAATATTAACTCTACTCAAAGAGAACAAAACTACCCGTAACAATTAGCAGGGATCTGATCAACAAGATCCCTGGAGTCCCCGCTCTCACTCCCAAGGCTTCAAAAACACCGGAACACTCTTAAAGTGCAAAAAGTATATTTATTGACATAAGTAGCTAAAGAGCCACAAATTTCAGGAGGGGGAAAAGCCAAAACAAATAACAGAACAAAGCTAACTAATTTAAGAATACTAACCTGGAAATCCGATAACAAACAAAAGATACAAAAACATCCCTTCCTACTTGTCAAAACCAGGAGAAAACAAATAATAAATAAAAGAGGCACCCACCTCCCTACCATGCTCCAAAAGGGTTTAACATAACCAATCACAACTTAACATAAGGTTGTGGTTCACATCAAATGTCTTTAACATGTACTAGTAGATCACAGTAACACATCTCTTTGTAAAGGAAGCCATGAGAGCAGGGAGCTGTAGATCCATGATTCAGGACACTTAAATACCGTGCCAAGCACTCCCGTCACCAATCAGGTCACTCATTAGCAGCTCCACCTGTGAGTCATTACAGTGAGAGAGAGAGAAACGAGAGAGAAAGGCCTCGTTTACACTGCAGGTCTTGATGCCCAATTCTGATTTGTTGCCTATATCCGATTTTTTTTACCGTCCGTTTACACGTTCTTTAAATTGTGACCCATATCCGAGTCATGTGTTTACACTTGACTGAAACATCGCGCATGTTTAAAGGGGTCTTCTTGCTCAGATGGACGAACGCGCAGCGAGATCTCAGGACAGGTGGGAACATACAACACGATCTCATAAAAGTGAGTATCTATAGCACAAATTTTATTTCTCATGCCATTTATGCGCCAAAAATAGCTTTTGCTTGCATATGATACGCACTGTAAACGTGCGCATTAAACGCCATAAAGTGCGTATCATGCACGCAAAAACTATTTTTGGCGTAAATGCCACGTGAAAAAAAAATCGTGCAATAAACGCACTTTCATGAGATCGTGGCGGGCTTTAACGAGGAGCAAGCCAACCTTTGATATGTTGTGTCAGTGTGTCCACATTCCTCTCCTACGACGACACAATGTTTCGTCGGGCCATTCGTCCATCCACAGATGCGCATCGGGGTTTCTCTCGTCATTAAACCGCGGAGACACAGCCTAATGCCTCGGAAAATCCGATCTGCCTGTTTACATGACAGTCGCATTGGCACACATCCGATTTACATCTGATTTATTTCCACATATGAACGAGGCCTGAAACCGATCTCGAAATATCCGAATGCATGCGTTTTTTTCCTGTTTACACTGTCATAGAACACATCCGATCTGTGTCGCATACGAGTAAAAAATCGGAATTGGGTCACATTTCACTGACAGTGTAAACGAGGCCCAAGAAGCACACCAAGGAAAACTAGACCAATACACTGTTTCCCCAACAACACAAGGCAAATACACTTCCACGTAACAGTTGTCTTTTCAGAAATGGAAAGCCTTCTTCTACCCTTGTATTTTATGATACCAAAGAGGGGTTTGCCATTATTTGGACAAACTGGTTAACAGCTTACGCCATTGGTTAATTTATTCGGTGACATATCAGACCACACAAAAAAAAGCCAAATAGCAATGTTTTGATAGTGCCGCCCTCTTCAAGACGTCAACTTACAAATGGCATTTTTTGTAGTTGACTCCACATTGAACACAATTACACATACTGATTTCCAGACCCTACTGTTTATGTACTCCTTAATTTATTATAATAAGGAAATTGTTACATTGAATCAATAAACTATATATTTTTTTATTAGATTAGTGTATATATATATATATACTTTAGTATAGTACATATACGTTCCCACATGCTGTAACACTTAGTATTCCCTTGAAGATTTCAACATCAGCAGCATACCTGTCAAGTATCCCGTTTTGGCCGGGAAAATCCCGTATTTTACCCTTCTTTCCCGCCGTCCTCCCGTATTAGGATTTTCCCGTTAATCTCCCGTATTTTAACCTGCGTTATTGAAAAATAATAATACCCCGGGCGGAGTAAAAAAAAAAACATTCCCAATCTGAGCTCTGTCACTATAGCCTCGCGATAACTACAGGTACTGTAGGTGGCAGTTGTCACGAGGTTAGTGTGTGAGGTCAGATGATGAGTGACAACGCGGGGAAAACAAAAAACAAACAAAAACAGAGGTGGATGATGGACGCTATGACAGAGCAAGGCACTCTTGCCAAAAAACCAAACCCCTCATGTACTAAATACCGCGATCAATGGGATAGCGAATTTACTTTTCTGAAGAGGAGCAGGGTGGGGGACAGTCACACGTTTTGTAACTGCGACTTTAGCATCTCACACGGGAAAGGAATGATGTATGTCAGCACGAGAAAGGGTGTTTAGCATGGTACGAAAGATTGTTACAGAGAATAGGATGACGTTAGACAACAGAACTGTTTGCTCTACTCTCATGTAAAATTAACCACTCTGGCCCAGCCCACAAATACACTCCTTCCAAAACAGTTAATACAAAGTCTGCAGCAAATTTGTTCAATAACTCACTAAAAGAGTAAGGAAAAGTTATGTGAAATGAAAAGAAAAACTGCAAATGAAAAGAAAAACTGTAAAAGAAAAGCAATATGAAATGAAAATAATGTGTGGAATGAAAATAAAATGTAAATGTAAAGACAAGCAATGTTAAATGAACAGAAAATATGCAAATAAGCCTTTAAATAAATTCTCTTAATATATACATTTAGGCTATAACACCTGTCTTAAAATGTAAGGGATACTGGAGCTTGGTTGGGGTGGTGGGACTGCTCGCGGTTGGCGCCGGAAAATTTCCCTTATTTTCAAATCCAAAACTTGACAGGTATGATCAGCAGACTGTTTAATTCTGTAGACACATACAGTACTTCTGTCTTAGAATGAATATGGTATCATATAATGATGAATAGATTTAATACCTGACATTATGTGACCCCTGCAGGCTGTGTCATTACTGTTTCCGGGCGAATGACCTTCACCAGTAACAAGTCAATGGAGATTGAGGTTTTTGTTGATGCTGACTATCTGGCGGAGGCTGAGAAGGGAAAATATAGGGCTGTCACAGCCTTTTTCACCTATATCTCACTGGACAAAGACAACAAGCCCCTTCCTGTGCCACAACTGAAGGTGAGTAATTTAGAGCTCATGTACAATAAGCGTAATTAATAGTGAGAATTGGACCCTAATCGAGAGTGTGATTATTTATCCAAATTTATATTTAAAATGTCTTTTGAGCAAGAAAAAGATTGCTGCAGATGGAAATTGAAGGTTAAGTTGATCGCAGTGTAGTGTGGAATATAGCACAGTGTTCTCCACTGTACGCCAGTGCCTTTTGTCTACTTAAAAAAAAAAATCTGTTTGATTTACAGTAAGTTTTGAGACGTTGGACTGTGCATATACATATACCTGTGGTAGATTTTCCCCTACGCACCTGACTTAAGTTTACCTGGGGTGTCTCCAGTCGACACTTAATAATATTTAGGTATTAAATAAAAATGTTCAAGGCCGGTGACCTTTTTGAACACTATCACTCGGGAATAAGGTCTTTAGTGCTCCTCTAACTTGGTGCGCAGCATTAACTAGACAGACTCCACATTTTGCCAAATATAGTAGTTGATCAGAGTTTACTATACATGCAATTATTTTGTATAGTATACACAAAAGAAGAAAAATCTGCAGTTATATATCACTGATGAAAAATGAATCTCAAAAATGTTTTGCTCTTTGCACTTTACAGCACTTTTTTTGCGCCTTTTTGAGGCCTGAAGTAATAAATGGAGAGTTGGAGAGCTTTTGCCTTGTTCATTGTGTGCGGATCCTTTTGTCTACTTAAAAAAAAAAAAAAAATCTGTTCGATTTACAGTAAGTTTTGTGACGCTGGACTGTGCATATACATCTCACGCTACCCCATTTCTTTCACCAACATATTATACACAGAAAGAATACATACTATATATTGCAGAAATAGTAATGTAATAAATTCTGAATAAAGCCAGTCAGTCTTTCTTAAAGTAATGAATCATTCATATCCAACATTAGCTACCGAACCTGAAGCGAAACTGTAGCAGTGATCAATTACTCTGGGGTGCGTTTTCCAAAAGCATCATTACTAACTTAGTTCAACGATTTGGTTTTGGATTTTTCCAACAAACAAGTGCAGAGAGCATTGCAAGCATGTGTGGTACAGCTCTTTGTAACTACAGGTAACTACAGCTCTCGACCTCTGGTTAGAAACATAGTTTCTTGTTAGTATGCCAAGGACTTGCATAGATCATGCTCTTGGGCACAATAAGCAAGCTAACATTCAGTACATTCTATATCTTTCATCCCACATAAACATACACATTTGAATTCTATATAGTTTAGCGTGTCAACAATCAACACTGTTTTGGAAGAGTGTGCATGTGCATAAAAGTATAAGTATGACATAAGAGATGAATCAAACAACAAATAAAACAAAACAATGGTGAACAAAAAAAGTCGAATTAGTCCTCAGATGCCATGTTCATTACAGCAGCATCTCAGAGAAATGATGGTGTGGAGAAAGCTGAATGAACTAAATGGCTGAATGAACCGTAAATAAATGGGAGTAAAGTGCACGCAATACTGCATATTAACATGATAAAAAAAAAAAGATCGACTTCCTGTGGTTTCTGTGAATTGACTATAATAATATGATATTAATTGTGAACTCGAATCATTAGCAAAAGTTATTACTCCACCACCTTCGAGTGACGATATTTTTGAACCAGCGTCTTGCAAATGACAGAGGTGCGACCATGTTACTATGGTTTCGGGAAACAGTTGTGACTAGCTAGTTAGTTCCTACAAAGATGCATCACACTATGGTGAGCAGTAAGTTACGTCGTTATACGGAAAATGCACCCCTGGATGGGTGTTGATTCTTCAAGAGTGAATCTGGTAAGTGTCATGGGTTTGTGCAATATTTGGCAATATTATATATCTATGTGTTGCAAGTATAGAAGCAGACAAATGGGGCAGTAGATAAAGGAAATAGATTAAGTTCATATATCCTATATATAAAGTCAGTAGCCTCGTGAGACCATCCTGATCTCGCGAGCTTTCAAGGTTTCACTCGCAGATCAGCCTGGATACTTTCCGTTAAAGAAAATTTGGGAGCAGTTCACCAAACGAACGTCCAATCAGCGTTGGCTTTGAGGCGGGTTGAGGTGTGACGCAACGAGAAGCGCGTCAGTTCAGTCTAAAGAACATGTCGGCTTCAGCGGATGAAACTAGCATCAGCGTGGCTATCGAGCAAGTTTTATCGGAATTACAGAGTATTTCTTCACTGAAAGAAGAGCAAAACACTGCTCTGGAGGCTTTTCTCAGAGGAAAAGATACGCTCTGTTAGTACGTCATATGCTTCGTTGATCTGATTGGTTGATTTGGCCCGTCTATCACCAACATAGGCCAATCAGCTAACCAGTATTTTCGCCCCTTACCAAAACTACTTCAACGGAAGGTTTCCAGATGGATATGCGGAGCAAATCCATCTGGCGGAGTCAGGTTATAAAGTCAGGACATCAACCTCCAGACATTTTCTTTGTTGTTGTGATTTTTGGATCACACGTCACTTAAGGTGTGGTTCTGAGTTCATTAGATGACCACAATTAATGTAAACTGGTCAGCTGATTTATCTCAAAGATTGGTCAGATCATTAACTTGTTGAGCCTCTTCTGTATTATCAGCACAAGAAAGTAATACATTTTATTAACAAAAGATAAACAAGAATAACTAACACAACTAAACGAATACCATGAATGATAAAGGAATAAAGTGCATAAGACGCATAAAATACAAGTGATTAAGTTGGTTGTGGCTATGGCAGAGTTATTTTATCTTATGGAAAAATAAACTGTTGTTTCTCTAAAACTAATAAGGTGAATAACCTGTGGTAGATTTTCCCCTACGCACCTGACTTAAGTTTACCTGGGGCGTCTCCAGTCGACCCTTAATAATATTTAGGTATTAAATAAAAATGTTCAAGGCCGGTGACCCTTTTTTAACACCATCACTCGGCAATAAGTTCTTTAGTGCTCCTTTAACTTGGTGCACAGCATTAACTAGACAGACTCCAGACACTGCCTTTGAATATGCTTTAATCACGGCCGGGAGGATCTCAAACCAATTTCAGAGAGAATCCTACCAGCAAAAAGAGTACAACCATTTTTTTATAGAATAGGAGCATGGCAAAGGTGACATGATTCATTACATCATCTTTCTATTGGTTCTTCATGTGTATAATTCAGCAAAGCCTTCTGTTTCTAGGTGAAAGCAAATCTGGATATATTGATTACTTCACCTTGTTCCTCAAAGTCAGACAACTAGACAACTGTCTAGTTTAATTTCCTCTTTTGTTATATTCAGATATGATTCAGACACACACTGACTTTGGCCCAAGGTGTGTGGACATTTAGGTTTCAAAAGCATATAAATGTTAATCCTGCAAGGAAAAGAAATGTTAATAATGATTAATTTAAAAATTCCATCACAAACCTTATTATGCATCAAACAAATAAAATAAATATTTGTTATGAACTATCATCAGCTATATTACCTCTAATGTAAATTAGAAAATCATATACTGATAATATACAACAATGCCAAGGTCTCTGGAACGAGGTTTGATTAAGTGATATTTATGTTCCACGTGGTTGAGTGAGCAGTCCGATGGTGGTGACATCTTCCACTGGTTGTGCTGTGGAACAATGCATTGGGAAAAGGAGCCAGAATACGTTTCAAAAGCCTTGAACATGAAGCTCTGTGGGATGCTGATCTCCTGGAGCATCAAAAGGGTGCTAAAATATTCTGGGACACGCAGATGAGGCCCTGAAGTAGGTGCAGACGAAGGAACCTTGAAGTGAAGGTTTGCTCTCCTGAGCTTAACCTTTTTGCAAATATCTGTTTGACTTCTGCCTCTCAGGGCCAGACACTCAGAACTTGGTACATCCGAATTTGTCTCTCTGGCATGGAGGCTTGGAACAAGCTCCATCTGTTATTGTCTTGCTGGACAAAGATTCTGAACATAGTGTTTGTTAATGTCTCTTTCCTCACAGACTGGAGGCTGAGAACGTGGTTGTATCTTTTTATGCCTCACAAGCTGTAGACCCAGATCATGGAATCTGTTGTTGCCCTCTGGACAAACCGGAGTCTCAGAACGGTTTATCTGTTATGTCTCGCCAGATGGTAGACTCAGAACTTTGTTGATCTGTTTCTGTCTCACCTTTGCAGACCCGAGACTCAGAACTTGTATCTGTTGCTGCCTTCCCTGTAACGGGCCGCAGACTCAAAACAGTGGGGCGTTTCTGTTAATGTCTCTCCCCTTACAGTCGCTTCTCCATTCCAGTGCTGTGATTGGCTGCTGGCATCAGAGGGGGCACACACAGTTTAGCCCACCCTTTTTCCCCCTGTGGAACTCATTTGCATAAAGCACTTAGTTAGAAGTATTTAAAGTTTTATCGATGCATTTATCACTTTCCAAACCACCACCAGAATACCATTGGCAATATTATAAACAAATAGAGTCCAAACTGGACGGAAAAAGATTGAACTGTCATGCATTCATTTATTTATTATACATTAACAGCTGAATTTGTGTAAGATGTATAAGATGAAATAGCTGTCACTGAGAATACTTATTTCTATGAAATGGATGTGTGTAGTTTGCATCAGTTCTAAGGTTTCCAAACAGAGTTATGAATAGATTTGGATGGATTATTGTGACCTCTCTTTGCTTCACCCACTACTGCTGCATCCGGAGGTCCTGAGGAATTTTTATGGCAGTCACAGACCAAGACCTTAGAAACTGCATGAAACTGCATGCTGACCAATGAGAAGTCCTGTCCTTCTCGGGCTTGAAAGAAGTCGTGTTCTTGCCGTCTAAGAGGTGTCTGGCTGTTGTCCTAGCAGCTTTATCTGATGGCGTTGGACAGTTTGTTTGTGTTAGTCCACCAAGATCCAATCAAAATGTAGCAAACCTTTGTTCACTGTTATGGACAGAGAGGGGACCGGCCATACACTGAGCCCTGGAATGTGCTGTTCACCACAATATTAATTAATTATTTAAATGTTGCTTGCAAAAAAAATATTTTGCCAGAATACTAAAA